ATCGTATAATCTCTACCAAAACATATAGGTCTTTTCAATTTTTATTTTCGTGGTAATTTTTATGTTATAGGAACGAATATGGAGGCTCCTTTTTTCTATTACTTTTTAAGTTAATATTTTCTTTTGATCAATGTGGTAATTAGAGGGTATGAAAACGAAAGAACGTGAAGGCTAATTTTTCTGTTTCTTTATTAAGTCAAGACTTGTGCTATATCCGAATATTTTGGAAATATGCTATACTTGAGTTAGTTTCTTGAAACATCAACTTGAGAAGATTATTTCTCATTGTTTTGTCCCGTGAAAGATCGAGACAAAATTCGGACACCGTGGGCATATTCTCGTCAACGATCCTACATTGGGAAAGGGCAAATAATATTCTTTTTTTCGAAGCGCTATGCATGGTAGATCATTGGTGTCCACCACGGCACATCATCCTTATCACTCAACTATGGCGCGTCGCTGTCAACGTCCACTGCCACGTGTCATCCAGTGGTACCCAGTACTGCGAATGCCCTATATCAAAACCATTCCTCAAGTATACTCAGTATATGTTATATTTATTTGATCTATTCATATGTAATTCTAAAATATACTCCGTATATTGGAGACAGGTCCCGATACCTCCCTTCGGCCTCCATTGACGAAACCAGAGGCTAATGGACCACCAACTCAGCGCCGGGCGAAGCAAGCGAGGTCAGCGAAACCGAAGACGAAGTTGGCGGAGCAAATGAAGCTAGGAGTAGTAAAAGTAAAACTGCCACGCTCCCGTCCGCGTTGCTCCCGTCCGAGGGGCGGCACGGACGGCGCCTCATCCTCCTCCGCCGCCTCCTCCCCTTCGCCTCGCCGCCGCCTGAGCGGCGCGTCGGCAAAGCCGGCCGGCCACAAGGACGGCGGCGGTGGGGCCCTCTCCCCTCCTCGAGGAAGCCAGCAGCGGGGACACCGGGGCTGCTCGGGAGCGGCGGTCCGCGGCGCGGGAGGCGGCACCGGGGGGTTGGCGTGGCGGATCCGTCTCCTCGGCGGCGGATCTGGCCTCTCCGTGTCCAGGGGCCGAGCAACGGCGAGCGGAGGTCAGCGGCGCGGGAGGCGGCGCCGGGGGGTCGTCGCGGCGAATCCGGCCACACCGGAGGTGGATCCGCCTCCCCCGGCGGCGGATCCGGTCTCCCCGCATCCAGGGGCCGAGTGACGGCGAGCCTCGCGGCGACGGCGGCCGGAAGGAGGCGACAGATGCGCGCCGCTGTGGACGGATGTGGCGAAGGCGAAGGCTCGAGGGTGAGGCTGGTTCCGGTCCTCCCAGGGCGACGGCGGTGGCGGAGGTCCACAGCCCCGGTGGCGGCGACGGCGACGGCGGCAGCGGCGGTCCACGGCCGCGATGGCGGCAGCGGAGGACTGCAGATGCGGTGGTGGCGGAGGGCGATGAGGCAGCAGCCACGTTGGCGGTGGCGGCGGCTGGCGACAGCGGCTGATGACAGCAGCGGCGACAGCGGCAGGCTTGCGGCGGCTGTGAATGTGGAGGCAGGGTGGTGACCGTGGCTGCGGTGGGAGGAGGCACGGCGGTGACCACCGTGGCTGAGGTGGGAGGATGCATGGCGGCCTTGGACGGCTAGCCGAGGGCGTAGGAGACGACTGTATCTTGCCGGCGCGGCAGCGTTTGGAGGAGGGGTCGGAGACCGGCTTGGCGCAGAGAGACGCAGCCGATGGCAGCGGAGGCTGGCTCGGCGCGAGAGGCGCAGGCGGCGGAGATGGAGGCCGGCTTGGCGCAAGAGGCACGGCCGATGGAGGGAGGCCGGATTGGCGCGAGAGACGCATCCGGTGGAGGAGGCCGGCTTGGCGCGAGAGGTGCGGCCGACGGTGGAGAAGGCGATCTCGGTACGAGGAGGAGCTGCTGGTGGATGTGGCGCGGTCTTCGGCGCTCGAAGGCTGGCCGGCGAGGGGCGCCGGTGCAGGGGTCCCACATGTCAGCAGAGGTTGAGGGGTGGTGGGAGCATTGGTGCGTTAGTCGTAGATTCGCAGGTGGTGAACAGCGGGTGAAAACCCAGCCCGGCCATGGCCGGACCGACAACGATGGTTAATTCCCCTTCCTGAGGGCGTTGTCGTGCTGTCTCATCCCTCAAGGGTGGTTGCCTGGCGAAAGCCCAGTCCTGACTCCTTTGAGCCCCGACAGATGGCGGCGGCGGTTTACCGTCGCTTCTCTTCTTGAAGACATCGTTTTGGTATCCCCTAGCCGAAGCCTCTCGATCGATTGGTGCAAGCACACTCTAGGAGTTGGCTTTGTATTGGTTGTGAGGGTGTTCTTTTGGGCGATCTCATATGTGTTCCTTTGTTGGTCTAGCGGCGGTCGCTCACGCTTAGCGGCGGCCGGTCCGGTGTTAGCCTTCTTCCGGTCTTGTGTGTTGGAGCTGTCGGTGTGTGGATGGTGGTATATTTTTCCTTTTTCCTGGTTACGACCCTCCAGGGTTGTAATCTTGTAATTTTTTCCTGTTCTATCAATAAAACTTCGCCCCGTCTCGTGCGAGTCGTTCAAATGAAGCTAGGAGTGAAGCAGGCAAGGTGCGGGACAAAGCTGAATACCTGGGTGAAGGACCACCGGTCCGAAGCAACTCCTGCTCAAAAGCCCAGCTACAGGAATTGACCCACCTAGGGCCTAATTCAGGGTAAAGCTATGAAAAGATCATAATACCCCTCCAATTTTCATCATTACGAGGACAATGTTGTAATCTCCTATGAGAGAGAAACCCTAAACAAAAGGGGAAACCCTAGACATTGTTAGCCTATAAAAGGGATCCCATATACTCTCTCCGTCCCAAAAAAGCCAACCTAGGAGGGGACACAACAAGTCTAGGCAGAGCTGTCCAGATTCGTTGTACTAGGAGGGGTCTAGGTTGTCTAGATTCCAGATTCGTTGTACTATGAGGGGTCTAGGTTGTCTAGATTCGCCCCCTCCTAGGTTGTCTAGATTCGTTGTCCTCTCCTAGGTTGGCTTTTTTTAGATGGAGATAGTAGTTTGTAACTTTAGATGGAGATAGTAGTTTGTAACATAGTAAAAAAACCGCCAACCTAGGAGGGGACACAACAAGTCTAGGCAGAGCTGTCTAGATTCGTTGTACTAAGAGGGGTCTAGGTTGTCTAGATTCCATTCGTTGTACTAGGAAGGGTCTAGGTTGTCTAGATTCGACCCCTCCTAGGTTGTCTAGATTCGTTGTCCCCTCCTAGGTTGGCTTTTTTTAGATGGAGAGAGTAGTTTGTAACATAGTAAAAAAACCAGAACCAGCACTCTAACCGGTTCGGTTTGCTTTAAGGACCGCTCATGCAATCAACCCAGAGTGAACCGGATGAACCGGACGGTTTTTTTCTTTAAGGACCGCTCATGCAATCGACCCGGAGTAAACCGGATGAACCGGACGGTTTTTGAGAAAAACCAGCGACCCGGAACCGCTGGTTCGCGGAGCAGATGGGCTGGCTTCTAAGGCCCTTTGCGGCGTCACATGGGGATCGATACTTGGCTGATGGGATAGAAGAGCATCAACCACACCACCAAACTAGGTTGGTGACCTTGTTTAAGTAAAATTATGTATGATATACATACTTTCCGGTTCAATAATTGAACCGATTGACCCGCCAGTCCAACCGGTGACCCAGTGAACCAAGAGCTCATGCGGTTCAGTGCCCGGTCCGGTTTTTCTACTATAGTTTGTAACAGGGGAGAATTTTTCAACAATCAATACAATTTGCTGCTTTATTATTCAATCGTCAATCCATTCATTTCTAGGTAGTCTCTTGGACTTAACCACTGCTAGTCCTTTGGACTACACTGTTGTTTTCGGCAACAACAATAAACGTTTAGATTATTCCATATGAGATGATCTTGTCACTTTACATGTCAACGTCATGATTTATTTATGAAGTAAATTAAAACCACATGTACTTATATTCAACGTGTAGTACTATGTAAGTGCAGGCAGTACTTTGGTACTCCCTCCATTCCAAATTAATCTATATATATAGTTTTTTAGGTTATTTCTAAATTATCTATATATTTATGTTAATTCATTAGGTCTATTCGTTATTTGTGCATTGGAGTAAATGGACATTGATGATGCATGCATCTATGCACACAAGCATTTATAACCCACATGCAATTTCTTGATTTGCTATTGGCTAGGAAATAGTGGGGATGGTGCATGCATTGAGTTTGTTGCTAGAGTAAATATAGTACGAGAGAGTTATTAGCTTTTCTTGGTCTTGGTGTACCTATGAAATATGTAGATCAATTTGGAACGGAGGGAGTACAATCCTGTGATAAGAGGGACTATCTTATATTACAAGAAACAAAAGTCACATGTAATACTTAATATAAAATGTGTGTGAAAGTACACTAACAGATGGCGAGTAGGAGAGATTCCTGGGAGATTGAGGAGAAAGCACCTCGTTTTTTGTGCGCACGCTTCCCAAACCAGGGTTTGAAATTTTGGTTCAAAATTTCCGAAATTTCGGAAATTTCACCCCCCCCCCACCAAAATGTTGACATCTCGCCCGAAAATTTTGGTTTTTTTGCAATTTTTTGTGAATTTGATCAAATTATTCAAAATCTGTCAAAAATTCAAAAACTTCGTATGAAATTTTTCCAAAATTTTGGAAATTTCGGTTCTATCGCCCACTTGCGGCAGAAATGCTAGTTTCGAAATTTAAAACCCTGTCCCAAACTACAAAACGATTTGTTTTTTACAAAAAAATTTCTATAGAAAAGTTGCTTTAAAAAATCATGTTAATCCATTTTTAAAATTTAAAATAGTTAATACTCAGCTAATCATGCGCTAATGACTCACCTTGTTTTGCATATTTTCTCAATCTCCTCTTTTCCCATCCTCTCAAACTCAGCCTTAGGGTGACACGTACAATATTACAACGTAATATATATATATATATATATATATATATATATATATATATATATATATAATAAATTTGAATACTTACATGTTGATACTCACTACCCACCCAAATATATAGCCTTTAAACGACTATACAAAGATGTGCAAATAGCTATCGTGGGAAACCCAAATAGATTGCCTCAAAAAAACCCAAATAGATATGTATGTAACAAGTTGTGCAAATTGACATGTGGCCCTTTAACGGGTTGGCGTGGATCAATCACAGACCCGTAAATGCACTGGGTCTAGAGTGGAGACATAGGCTCACTAAAGCGTTTAATCTGGAAAAGAGAAATATACATTACCAGTCATACCTCACTTTAATTGTTATCCGTTGGGACACGTCTCGCTTGTTATTCATCTGCTCTACCGGCTCTAGTACAGGTCTCAAATTGTCTTTCGAACCAATATATTCAACCTCTTTAAGTTTCTTGAAGTGCTCAATGCCAACAATTTTTTTAGTTTGGTCGCCGAAATACACAACTAGCCTCTCCACATTTGGCATGGATCCTTCCTCAAATTCGTAAACATCACAACTACTAGGAGTATAACCCAGAATCAGTTCCTTGAGCTCCCGAAAGTGCTGGCTACTGTGCACAACCATATGTTTTCCGTGAATAAAGTAAATTCCCAGGAATAGCCTCTTCAGGTTGGGCAACTTACAGAGGACGTTGAATAGTTGGAAACCATCAACGTGCGTCCACCGTAACTGCAATTCAACAAGATCATGGAGTGACTCTACCCAGTCAGGCAACCTGTCCATGTGCCCACAGATCCTAAGGTACCGGAGCAGTTGTGGTGGTGGCTCTATATCATGTAGAAATTCCATTATTGGAGCAAAAGGCCATTTACCGGCATCAAGATTGCCGATGTCGAGCCATCGCAGGGAGTACATCTTGCTCAGGGAGCTGGCAAGCTTTTTGACGACACCATTATTCATTTTCTTTCCCGTGTCGACAAAGATAGCTAGCTCTTGCAATTGACCCAGTGCACCAATCTCCTCAGCGACCTTGGCATCAAATACCACAGCTGCTTTTTTTAACTGGCGTAGTGCCTTCATTTTGTTGATCCCTTGGGGCAGCATCCAACCAGAATCACCCTGGTCAAAGAATAGCAGGTGCTCCAGCTTCTCTAGCTTTGTAACTGATTTTGGCAGATCCTTGAGCTGTGTTTGACGTACATCAAGCATCTGCAAATGCTCGAGATCACCAATTCTTGATGGCATCACCTTGACATCTGTACCTCTCAAGCTCAAGAACCTTAGAAGGTACATCCGGCAGATACAACTCATATGCTTGTTTGTTAGGCCAGTGCAGTCTTCTAGATCAAGTACCCTTAGCAGGGTGAACTCGCCTAGCCGAGAAAGAATGTTGTGCGCTTCAGGATCAAATATGCTTAGTGATCGGACATGTTGCATCATCATTCCCTTTATGCTATCTCCCCCCGTGCCACGATGCGCTGCCATCTTTTTAGATGATGAAGAAGGGTCCTTTCCTGCCTCTACTCCACCATGTATGGAGAGACGGCGAATTGTGTGATCAGTATAAGACATCCCTTCATACTGCCCACCTACTAGGCTAACAAAGTTAGACTCTAGGGATTTGGACACCAGTATCTCAAGCATCATATCATGCACTCGGAACTGGTCTTCTCTGATCCCTTGATGCAAATTAAAAGTGGCCTTACTGATCACCATGTCAACCATATTCCTACTCACTAGCTCATTAAAGTAGCCTTCCGCAAGATCCATCTGGCACAATCCCCGCTTCTCAACAATCAATCCTTCGGAGATCCATCTCTTCAACAGTCGATCCTTGGCGATCATATAATCCTCCGGGAAAATGCTAAGATACATCATGCAAGCCTTGAGGTGATGAGGTAGGTGGTTATAACTCAGTGTGAGTATTTGCCTCATCCCCTCGAGGGTAGGGTTGTTTTCCATCTGTGAACCAATTGAGTTCTTAATTGTTTCCCACATTTCTTTGCCTTCTGGAGGTTTATAGTTTGCCAATAGGCTGGCAATGCTAACAATGGCCAATGGTAGCCCACTACATTTTTTTAGGATACTTTCCATTGCATCTTTCAAATCATCAGGGCAAGGACTTTTAGAGCCAAATGCTTTGCTGATGAACAACTGCTTGGATTCTGTATCGTCTAGCTTCTTCATATGATGGATGTAATCACTAGCAGCACTGCATGCTTTTGCCACGGTATGTATACGAGTGGTAACTATGATTCTGCTGCCGCAATTGCTGTCTGTGACTGGTAACTTGGACCGGATCGCATCCCAAGCTGCTATGCTCCATACATCATCGATCAAAATGAGGTACCTAGATTTGTAGATATGCAATAGTTAGAAGGTTTTGTCCGCCCAAATTAGTACTCCCTCTGTTTTATATATATATATATATATATATATATATATATATATTAGTTAGATGCCATATATGGCAAAATTGTTTGATTTTTTCCTAGTCAAACTTCTTTAAGATTGTTCAAGTTTATAGAAAAATATAGTAGTATTTTCAACACAAAACAAACATATTATGAAAATATATTCAATGTTAGATTTAATGAAACTAATTTGATGTTTTAGATGTTGCTAAATTTTACTATAAATTTGGTTAAACTTAACGAAGTTTGACTAGTAAAAAGTCAAACAACTTATAATATGATACCGAGGGAATAATTAATAATTCTTACATTAGAAAAATGTAAATCACTTTTAGTTGATGTTTATTAAACTTCTCTTTCATGTTTATTAAATCGATAAGGTGAAAATATACCATAGGAAATGTCATGACAAATTTTAAGATAAGCATATTATATAAGTTCATGTACACGATAACAAAGTAAGTTTACATGCAGAATTTTGTACCAAAGTATAATCGTACATGTACTGCAAAAAGATAAAACATGCACCAAAAAGTATACAACATTAATATATAGTTGCATGGAGGGGCATGAGGGAAGGAAAACTATCTGATTCAAGAGTTGGGAGATCTATACGTATACGTACGGTAGTAACACACTTGTAATCTACAGTGGACCACTTAACTAGTTAAGCTTACTATCGATATGCATTGTGTAAACTACTCTGCTTTTTTAGCACATATTAAGGAGAAAGGAAAAGTAGCCGGAACTGTCTATCCATTTGTCGGGTGATTTCTAAAAAAAAAATCAACCAGATTTTTTACCCTTAGATTTACATCTAACGGACTACGAAAGAAAATAACAAATACATATTTACTTACACAACATTTTTATAAAAAACAATGCACTTACATGTCATATCAACTGAATTTACAAATGTAATTTTTGTTATATAGGACTGTAATTTTATATTTTTAAATAAAATAACTAATACATATTTACTTACACAATATTTTTATCGAAAAAAAATACAGTGCACTTACATGTCATGTCAACTGAATTTACAAATGTAATTTTAGTTATATAGGACTATAATTTTATATTTTATATTTTATTTTAGTTTCCAATGTCTTAATTTTTCAACCGTTAAAGAAATTAATTTTTATTTAGAAAATAACCGGGCCTAAGCATCCAACACACGGCCTTATCGACGCATGCAGCATCCACCACCAATTCTTGCACAAATCTTAGAGCATCACCAACAGTCCACCAATAATCTATCCTCAAAAATTGATTTTTGAGTTTCCTAAACTGAAAATAGGTGGTGAAAAAACCCTTCCCTCCAAGAGATAGCCTAAATTCAATTCCAAACAAACTAAAAATGGGCCCTTCTATTAAACTACCAACAGAAATTCTAGTTTTTTTTCTTTCCCGTGCGCAAAAGGAGCGCAGGGAAGGAGAGGAGAAATGCATGGGAAGAGGATTGGGAGTCGGTCTCTCGCCCTCAAATACACGTACCGAGAAAACTGGAGATGGGAACTCCAAAACGTTCGGAGCTCTTTTGGGAATCTGTTGGACCAACTTTTTTAACCAAAATCCTAAAAAATAATAGACTGTTGGTGATGCTCTTAATTGGCGCACATATCGTGCGGCCAAAAAAACTGAAATACCTGATAAAAAAATCACGTGACGGATATCTAGCAAAAACGAAAGTAGCCGGTCCAGCTCCTGATTGGCCAGAAAGATAGTTGTTGGGGGATAATTTCATGCGTAAGGACAACACTAGTACAGAAACAACACGATTTGATAAGGACCTGTATTGTTGGGGGATAATTTCATGCGCAACGGCCCGTTTTCGATCGTACCAACATGTTTCTGGTTTTCCAATATTTCTGATATCGTTTTCGTTTCCAACTTTACCGTTTCGATTTCGTTTTCGAGAAAAATATGGTTATGAAAATTGTTGAGGCTATTTTCCGATCATTTCTGGCTGTTTTCATCCCTAGGTCAAGCTTTAGCTCTGGAATTAATGGTGGTGGCTTCAATGGCCGGCAATGGTGAGAAAAGGTCCAAGTCCGACCTAATCTAATGTGAAGAAATTTATAAGAAAACCTAGTCCTAAGAGAAAACTTGAAATAAGACATGTGGTATGCAAATTAGGTAAAAAAGCGCGCCTAGCCCATTGAGCAATTCACTCGTAATAATATCCCGTGGCGACTTAATAGCTAATAAAGCACTTGTATTGTTTTACATAAAAACACTAATATTGTGAGTCACTCTAAACTTCTCAACATGGTTCCTATATGAAATATAATTATATATGTTTCTGAGTATACAATAATACATGTGTAATTACTTGAAGCAAATGTTTATCTAACTATCACATCTAAACATTGTATAGTTACTTCTAATATTTGTTTAAATTACTTCTATATATACATTGTTGCATTTACTTTTAAAGAACTACATAGTATTAATTAATCTTTAAAGTAAAATAAAAAAAGAGATTAGTAGTGTAAAAGACAAGGCATGTATTACATAATTAATGTCAAATTGAGTTAAAAAAAAGTGCAAGCTTTATCCCATAATATAAGGGATTTTGGTGGGATGTGACACATCCAGTACTAACGCAGTACTATGATGTGTCACATACCACCAAAATTCTTTATATAATGGGACAGAGGGAGTACTAACTAGCTAGCTAATTAATGACAGGGAGTATCAATTTCCAACGTACGGTAGCTTGAAATAAATAAGAAAAAGAAATCATCATATACCGACTAAAAGAATATATGCACACAAAAAAACTAGTAACCCTAGGTGTGTGTTACACGTACCTCTTGTTGTCGAGCCTCTTTTTGAGCTCGGTTGCCAGGTCGTCGACATCCATGGTGTCGATATTAACATTAGGCTGCGAGCTAGCCGCAGCCGCTTGCAGCTGGGTGATCTCTGCGTCGTCTACAGTCTCTCGGTCGACGATAGGCTGCGTGATCTGCCGAAGAACGCGCCTGAGCAATCCCTGAAGGTCCTTGCCGCTGAATGTCTGCGACACGGCCACCTGCGCTTGGAAGTGAAACACCGTCTCCAGCCGCCGACACACCTCCCTCGCCAGCATCGTCTTCCCGAGCCCTCCGAACCCCACGATGGAGAACACCCTGCGCTTCTTGTCATCGTCAACTCCCTCTCTTAGTGCACTCACCTTGTTGGCTAGCTCCGTAGCTTGGCCATTGTTGTCGACGAACTCATCATGATCATCGGCGTCGACGACGACGACACGCGCCGATGCCGGCATGGTGCCTAAAGCTGCTGCATCGGCCGTGCTGCGCCGCAGCGAGTCGAGGCTGAACCCGTAGCTGCAATGCTGCTCGTTGATGGAGGAGGCGAGCGCACGGAGCGCCCTGATGTCGCCGGCGAGCTGGCGGCGAGCGAGGAGGGTGGTGAGGAGGCGCTTGCAATTGGTCCAGACGGATAGCTGGCCGGAGCGGCACCGGATGCGGAAGTGGTAGAGGTGGACGCAGTCCTCGGCGTCGTAGGCCACCTCGCGCAGCTGCTTCAGCCACTCGCGGGCGAAGTGGTCCACGGCGGCCTCGTCGGCCTCCGACTGCATCCGGAGGAGGGCGTGGATGGTGGCCAGCTCGTTCCGAAGGCGAGCCACCTCCACGCCGACGCCGCGCAGCTGGTTGAACTCCTGCCCCACCAGTGTCCCCACATTGCTTACGAGGCTCTGCGCCGCGCTCTCCATGGAACTACTGCTTCTCAATCGATCTCGATCTCTTGCTTAATTTGCATGCTTCTCAACCCATAACTTTCATATATATATATATATATATATATAATTATATATAATTGAGAAAATCCTCCATGTACCCTTCGAGAATAATTCGTCCAATCCCTTATATACCTATGAATTTTACCTCATCCCTTATCGGCACAGAGAAGATCTATGTCTATTCCGTTAGTTGAACATGAGACCGTTAAATGTTTTTGAAATTGACTACATTACCCGCTCTTATACTTATGTGCGAGTCTAATGATAAAAACACAATTCTTATATGAAAAAAAAATCTATTTATAAATAAACAAAGGGAATATAATTATTTGACAACAAATTTTAAAAATAAATCAAAAATTTTAAAATAAATTTTAAATTAACTTTTATGATATTCGTACATTGTTTTTATCAAAATTTGAACCCAACAAATAAATAATTTTGGTTCACAATTTCTAGCTAAAACTCTTATATGGATTTTGTCCAAAAAAAATAAATTTGTTCAACCGTTTAAATTTTCTTTTCAATAAATAATTATGTCCCATTTGATTTTATCATGAGTTATAATTTTTCACATTGTGAATTATGAAGTGTGAATTATGAAGTAGAGTAGATAGCATGCAACTGTAAGAATGGAATATGGGTGATATAGTCATTTTAGAAAAATTTCACAGTCAACTAAAAGGATAGGGATAGAGGAGAATCAAATGGAAACTCAAGGGCATATACAGAATGAGGCAAAATTCAGAAGTATATAAGAAATTGCAAAACTTTTTTCGTGGATATGTATGAAATTTTCTCTATTATTAATGAGGTCACAGCTTCCTTTAGCTGGAAATATTCAATTGTACTATAGAATGGCCGAGAGCTGCATTACTCTCTGCCATTCTTTATTTTTAGCCGTTAGATTAAACGTGGAGGAACGAGATTAGGCGCTACAGCACTCAAAAGTAAATCAATACTATGGCCCTGTTTAGATCCCCTGGTAAAAATTTTTACCATGTTATATCGAATGTTTGGATACATGCATGGAGTATTAAATATAAAAAAAATAACTAATTACATAAATTACTTGTAAATTGCAAGACGAATCTTTTAAGCCTAATTGCTCCATGATCTGACAATGTGGTGCTACAGTAAACATTTATTTGTTAATGGCGGATTAATTAGGCTTAATAAATTTGTCTCGTGGTTTGCATGTGAATTCTGTGTCTACATTTAATACTTCAAATGTGTGTCTGTATATCCGATGTACTCCTCCGTACTCATAAAGGAAGTCATTTAGGACAATCTTTAAGTCAAACCTTGGGAATATAAATCATAAATAACTCTCAAGTTGTTGAGTTTGAAAATGTAAAACTTATATGAATAGATTTGTCTTGAAAAATACTTTCATAAAAGTATACATATATCACTTTTCAATAAATATTTTTATAGAAATAAGAAGTCAAAGTTGTGTTTTGGAGACCGTGTCGCTGTTCTAAACGACTTCCTTTATGAGTATTGAGGGAGTATCACGCTAAAACTTTACACTCCAGATCTAAACATAGCCTATACTAATGAACAGTATTTTACTATTTTTCACAGTAAAAAATATTGTGCTTATGGCAGACCATTGTTGCTCCTCTCACAGTTTACTGCGCGTCTCCACCGTTTCCTCCCTAATGTCGGATGATGCGAATCCAATGGCTTTTTTGGTTTTTGATATTGTGTCCGAAACGACTAATAAAACCAGCTAAGGGAGTACGTTTCTATAATAATTAGTGTTTTGAATAAGTTTGATGTCAAACTTTAATAACTTTGACCATCAATAACTTTAAAAATATTTAGTTTAAAGAAACTAGAACAACATATATATATATATATATTTGTCTTTTAAAACAGTATAATAAAAATAAACATACATTTATTTATTATGTATATTATAATAGAAAAATAAGATCAAAGATATATTTTGTAGATCGTGTCATTTGTCCAAAACGTTAATTAAAATGAAACTGGAGGAGTAAGTTATCTCAACCGGCCTACATTTTCAGCAATTATTAGGTGGATATCCCAATGTTCTAAAAAAAATGGATATCCCAATTCCCAAGCGTTCTCACCCGTTTAGGCTGTCCGCAAACACGCGCGCTCTCTCTCTACCACAATGATTTTTTTTACTGCAACCAGACCCCCAACTTTATAAATATGATTTTTACACGGCAAATCCACGGCCGCCGGCTGCCGCCCGCCGGTTCCTTTTCTTGATCTGGACGCCGCCGACAGTCACCCATATGGCCATGTCTTCTCTTCTTTTTTTTTTTCTTTTCCACCGTGTGAACTCATGTGATTCGTGGGTGGAGCAAAAATAATTACTACAGCTTCTGCTTTTTACCATGATTCGATTATTACCAAGCTGAATCGAGTAGTCTACTTGTTGTAAAAAGATCAACATCCCATTTTTTTTACCGGGTGTATTTGTATACATGTGATTCACTGTACAATCCATGTATCATAATCGAGTAAAATAAGTACTACTATTTCATACTCTATGAAAAAAAAATACTACTGATTTTTACCCAAAGATCATTAAGTAATTATACTACGGTACGGCAATATTTGTTTATTATAATCGAATAAAAATTACTACTATTTTTTATTAAGGAAAAGAATTACTGCTTGTTTTTACCCAAGGATCAATGAGTAATTATACTACAGTATTGAAATATTTGTTTATCCTTACAAATAAGATTAGAAAAATAATACAGTTAGTACAAAATAATTAGTCCCTGAAAAATACAGTTAGCAAAAAATGAAAAATACTATTAGTACAAATTAATTAAAGGTAATTAATTTACTGGTGAGAGGTTTGGTTGTGTGGGAACCGTGGGAGTATTAATTTGACGGGTGACAGAACAGCATAAAATTTTGTCCACCGTGTGCGTGTGGCAGTATTTTTCTACATGGATTAAACTGATACTAATTTTTTTAGTTGCCTCTAGTCATGTGCGAAAGTGACGAAAACGAGAAACACCGAAGGGTGTGATGGGTGTCGCGCTAGGTAACCGTGTAGTATTTTAATCGGAGTAGTATATATACTCTATATATGCGTGCATGCGCGGGCGTTCGTGCCACGCCCAAAAAAAATACTTTTCCCCAGCGTCGGTGAATTAATCCCCGTTCCAAAAAAAATACACCATAATAAACTTATATAAAAAACACAATTTTATTATTATCATGATAATATTTACTCTCTCCGTACCAGTAAAGGAAGTCGTTTAGGATAATGTTTAAGTCAAAACTTGATAATATAAATCATGAATAACTACCAAGTTGTTGAGTTTAAAAATGTAAAAATTATATGAATAGATTTGTCTTGAAAAATACTTTAATAAAAGTATATATATATATATATATATATCATTTTTCAATAAATATATTTATAGAAACAAGAACTCAAAGTTGTATTTTGGAGACCGTGCCACTGTCCAAAACGACTTCCTTTACGAGTACGGAGGGAATATATTATTACAAAGGTACATTATGCTTGACAACAAAAGAAAATTAGCAATGGATTAGTGGGCCTACGGCTTCATCTTCACATGCGCTCAATTGGAATATAAGCCAGGACTCTACCTAACACTTTTTCAAAAATCTTCTTTGACCGAAGGAGGAAAGATTAAACAAGAACGAGTGCAACCACTGTATTCAGCAAGTCATGCCAGGAAATGAATTACAGAGTATAATACAAAGGGGAACATAGAGTTGGCATGAGGGTTCATTTTTGCGTAAAGCTAAAGTTGTAATATTTTACTTTTTTAAAGTATAGTTTAAACTCGGTCATATTGCTAAACAATATTATCATGGTTACGAACCCATACATACTAGCCATAAACCTAGGTTAATCACCTGTCCAAAGTGCCATGAATTCCATCCATTACTTAGAAAAAACACTAACTTAGATACATTACTAGGCTTACTTATAATCAAAGACGCGGCTATTCAAATAGTTTTAACATCTTTACCCAGAAGACACGGTACTTAACACACCGCAAACTACTCTCTGTGGACACGGTTGTCAAAACCACCTCAACGTTTGGTACAGCTCCTACTCCAAAGGTGGAGTTGAGTTGAGGAGTGGAAATGTCGTTTCATTCTATTTGTGTACTCCCTCCATTCTATAATATAAGCATTTTTAGTTATGAATCTGGATAACTGTGTGTCCAGATTCGTAACCAAAAGTTATTATATTTTGGAACGGATGTAGTAATTTTTAGTAGCAGGGCGGCAGCTCTACTCGGATATCAAAAGATATTTGGCATTAGCTTCAACTTTACACCCATCAAGCAGTCATTGCAATGCTTTCAAATTTCGCATAAATGACTGTTATCAACATTTCCCTTCGCTCTAGGAATTGTTCAGACGAGTGTATACTGTTTGGAACTCTGCCCAAAAAATTGGTCAGGAAGAAGACAGATTGAAAGATGGAGCTAACAGCATTTTAATATACTGGTTCCCAAGCAGGATTAAAAAGAAAAGGACGCTGTAATTAACGGTACTGCATGCAGTCAGCAGATGCAGTCCAAAACGATTTGATGAATACATGTGCGCTTGGCTTGACAATGTACCGATGCACAATCCAGTCAGATATGGATGGACCATCATCTGAATTCTTGCTGAGAAGAAGCGAATCCTGAAATGTGAAGCGCTGGTTCCACAGCTAGTAAGGTGCGGTTTGCTCATTTGAGAAATCCTAGATGCCACGTAAGCACAAAATTTATTTAGGCCACACAACCCCCAGCAGAGGACCAGAGGTCACACATAATGTTCTTTTTATTTCAGACCCTAGTTATTTCTATGTAATTGTAATCGGTTAGAAATTTTATATTTTACACCCAGTAACAATAAAAAATACATATATACCCTTAACCTACTACGGGTCCACATGTCAGTCAGCTCTTCCATATACTTTTTCTCCTTCCACCCCCCTCTCT